CACAGAGATCTACCTGCTTCTGCCTCCCAAGTGCTGGTATTAAAGGCATGTGCTACCAACGCCTGGTGACACCTGTGGGAATTAAGCCCTTAAAATTCAGCTCAGAGCCAGGCGTTGGTGGAGCATGCCTTTAATACCAGCACTTGGGAGGCAGAAGCAGGTAGATCTCTGTGAGTTTGAGGCCAGACTTGTCTACAGAGGGAGTTCCAGGACAGGCTCCAAAGCCACAGAGAGAAACCCTGTCTTGAAAAACCAAATAAACAAACAAACAAACAAACAAATAAACAAATAAATAAGTAAATTTCCATGGGTTGCCTGGTGTTCTGAGAGGTCAGAAGAGGGCGTTGGATCCCCTAGAACTGGAGTTATGGACATAAGCTACTGTGTGGGTGCTGGGAACTGAACCCAGGTCCTCTGCAACAGCAACAGTTGCTCTCAACTGCTGAGCTATTTCTCTAGCCTCATTCTAACTTGCTTTTTTCTTAGGAAGTGGTCTCATGTATCCCAGGCTGGCTTTGACCTTGCTGTGTAACAGAGGTTGACACTAAGCCCCTGACCCTCTTGTCTCTACTTCCTGAATACTGACATTACAGAAACATTTTGCCACCATGTCTGCTTATGTGGTTCAGGGGACAGAACCCAGGACTCTATGCATATCAAACAAGCACTCTCTCAACTAAGTTACATCTTCAGCCTTCTTCTGTAGCTGGATCAACTGTTTAGCTTTGCTGAGCTCACTTCTATCTGCAAATCAGGGTTGATAATATTTTGCAAGGTTGTAATGAGGAAAGGAAATAATGTACATAAATGGAGCTCAATAAAAATCTAATTTTTGGTTTATAGCTTTATTAGTCTGTAAGTACAGGTGTTCATATTTGTATAATATTGCAAGTGAGCCAGTGCCCTCTGCTTCCCACTCAACTCCTGCTTACTGAGCACCTGTGACATCTTAGTGCTGTTCGTAATTCTTAAGACCTCATATGTCCGTTTTTCTTAGATATTTTTTTCCTACAGAAAACATATGCTGTGGTTCAACTTCAGTAATTTTCTTATTCATCTTTGTTTTCTCAGACTCTACCATCCTGCCTGGCTCAGGGTAGCAGGAGCTGAATAAACGTGTGAGCTGAGTTGAATAATTTAGTGGGGAAAGGAAAAACAAACACACCACACACACAAATTAAATAAAACCCAGAAGTCTGTCATGAATACACTAACACATACAAAGTGCTTTGAACTGCAGACCAGACAGCATTAATTTTGAGTAATAGTGTTGGCAATTCCCTGGGGAGTAGATAGGCTTAATCTGGGACCTGATTGGGGGTACCCAGGAAAAAGGCTTCGAGACAGCCGCCATCCTATGAGCTGAGGTTTGTAGGTAGAAGCAAACTGTTTATCTTACCGGTTATTTGTGCTGGCAAGGGAGTGAGGTTGAGGAACGGGTCCTGATGAGCTAGAATCTGATGTGATCCAACAGTCTTTGTTCACAAGCCTTTCTGGAAATGCTGCCTTTAATTTGGCCTGAGCGGGTAGCGGGAATGAGAGAAGCCGTGGAGGTCAGGGGATGGGACAAGGGCAGAGACTTTCAGCAGCAGAAAGGAATTTAGGAGAGGACGCGTCCAGGAGGGGATGGACACCCTTAGAAGTTTGGGAGGCAGCAGGAGGCTGAGAAAGTGCACTTACTAAGACAGGCCAAAGCCGGGCGGTGGTGGCACTTGGGAGGCAGAGGCAGGCGGATCTCTGTGAGTTCGAGACCAGCCTCCAAAGTCACAGGGAAACCCTATCTCGAAAAACAAAACAACAACAAAAAACTCCAAAACAAACAAAAAAGGCAGGCCAACCCGCAGCAGCAATGAAGATGGCCACGAGCCCCGCCCATCAACCCACGCCCACGAACCACGCCCACCAAAGCCCCGCCCGGAGCTGATAGCAGCCACCCTGCAGTACTGGAGGACTGAGGGCTCGCCGGGCGGCGGGGGCGGCGGGCCCCG